CAATTCCCCTTTCAGTGTGTTTTGCCGGCACTGGCTGAGATACGGAGGGAAAAAATCAGTGTGTTAAAAAACAGGGATGGGACATGAGCAAGCATTCAACAGCGAGGAAAAAGAAAAGACAATTTCAGAAGCAACTATGCCCTTTAAAAAAAAAAAAAAAAAAGTAAAATAAATGTTACCTAGAAGTGCCTCCGGGATTATTTCAGGGCATCCACTCTGTCTGTGCGGCCGAGACGGACGCAGCTCGTTCTGCCGGGGACAGCAGCGGCCGTGAAAGGGGAAAGGAAAATGCACGTAGGGGGGTTATGTGTGCAGGGAGCAAATCAAGCACCTCTTTTTACCCTCCTGTAACGGAGGAGCCAGGGATGACCTGGAAAGGCAGAATAACCCCGCATTCACTAATAATGAGGATATCCAAGCAATGCAGCATTTGCATTTAACCTATGGGACTCTCTGCTGCTCTCTCCAGCCGAAATTTAACAACGCTGGGGTTTTTCAGGAGCTGCGGGGAGAGCGTTGCCTGCTCTGGGGAAGTGAAAACCCTTTACATTGGGGAAAAAGAGAAATTTGGTGCTTTAGGGCACAGAGCAGTATCAGTCAGCGGGGGAGCCTGAAGGGAACTTTTCCTGGGGCAGGTTGTTCCTTCCTTGTACTGAATTTTCCTGCTTTTTCCTGGCACGGGAAGAAGCAGGAAAGTTTACAACCCTGTTTGTGTTGCAAAATTGGACTCCAGGGTCCGATGTCAGGGGGAAAACAGGACTGAGCCCCAGGATGTGAAAGCTGGTAGTGTTAAGCCCCAAGCTCACTGCTGCTTTCGGGCTCGGCCACATCCTGGGGTGGTGGGTTCCTCACGTTCACCCATTCCTGGTGGGAGTAGCACCCACCACCAAAAGCTTCCTTGGGGCTGGTTTTATCAAACCTGCTGCCTGATGGTGCCATCATCCCCCTCCTCCTCATGAATAATTGCTCCTCTGATACCTTCTCCACCCCATTTGCAATTTCACAGGCTTTTTTGGCTTTATTTGCAGATGATGATAAAATCACCCAGTTTACCATAAAAGTTGGGGAAAGCTGGGAAGACCTGGGCAGAGCCATGGCTGTGCCCCAGTGACCTGGTTTCAGCTCTGCCATTTATCTTGGAAAAAACAGTTTCCCTCTGAACTCTCGCAGCTTTATTTCTAGAGGGGGGGAATCCTGAAAAAACAAGCAAACAAACAGAGAAAAAAACTCCTAAAAAAACCAAGTATTTTTTAGGCTTTTCCCCTTTACCTCTGAATTTCCACCAGTGGGAAAAGAAAAGATTCTCATGAAAAGTATGTGCTGGTGGCTTATTTCTGTCCTTCTCCCAGCCCTTCAAAGGGGCATTTTCACACATTTACAAAGCAGTGGGAGACATTTCGGGACATGAGGCTCTGTTCATACACGCTGCTGCTTTGGGGGCGCCGGGAGAGTATGTCGGGGACGGTGTTTCCCTTGGGAAAGGGAGGAGGAGAGTAAGGCACACCAAGGCCTCCCTCTTTGCTGGGCGTTTCCACCGTCATCCTCATGTTTTGGGGGATCCTGGGGTGTTTTCTGAGGCAAGTGCTGCCGTCAGGGCCTGAAGCCAAGCTGTTGGTGATGGATGTGCTTCTCTTAAGTGTCTTTTAGTGACTTTCAGCCCCCATCCCGGCCCAGGTCTGATGCTGAGCCCGGTTTTGAGCTGGCTGTCACCACCCCAGGAGAAGCGTGGTGTCCCCCTCCACACTGATCTGAGGGGACAAGGGGAAAACTGAGCCCCCCCCGCTTTGCCCATTTTTCCTGCTTAGTGGGGGGTGTGGGAGCCTGTTGAGATGTGTGGGCTGGTGGGATCCAGGGGTGGCAGCGGGGGCTACTGGCCCTGGAAGGAGGCTTGCCAGAGTGAGCAGGGAACACTGGGGAGTGTGACAGGAGGAAACTGGGGAAGGTGTTTTTGGGGAGGTATTTCGGAGAAGCGCTTTGGGAGGGTGCGAGGCGCTTTGGGAAGGTGCTTGAGGGCGGCGCTTTCCAGAACCGTTTTAGGAAGACGCTTTTGGGAAGGTGCTTTAGGAGGACGCGGTGGGAAGGTGTTTGCGGGAAGATGCTTCTCGGGGGAGGCGATTCGGGGACGAGAGCCCCAGAGGCACCCAGCGAGGAGGAGGGGGAGCTTCGGCGGTGCGGGGAGGTGCGGAGCGGGCTCGGCGGGCACCTGCGTGCCGCCGCCTGCAGTGCCGCCCGCCGCCACCGGGTGGGGCAACAGGGCAAAGAGTGAGCGCGGCGGCGGCGGCGGGGTGGGAGGGGAGGGGGGCTGCCGGTCCTCACCGGGGGAAGGGGGCTGCTGCACCGGGATGCGCCGGGA